TTGCCAAGCGACGAAAACCCATTCCCGATGGCAAACACCGGGGGGAGCTAGGGGGGGGAGGGATCTTGCTTCCAATTATACGAGTGCTGTACCCGGGGCCAAGAAACATCCGGGGGGGCGTTGTGGGTTATTTTCTGTTGTAGGCACAGGCATACACCGCGAAGCAATTTTTTTAGTCCATAGATCACTACAAAGAGTTGTGTTCTTCTCGAGTGCATGGAGCATGGAACATGTTTGGAACATGTTTGGAACATGTGTGGATGACAGGTGTAGAAGTGTTGTACAACCATTTGTTGTTGCATACACGAAATTAGGACCAAGATACGATCTGAACGGAGGATCTCAATGATGGTTGACCTGCAAGAGACCCGACTATGGATGGGTCCCTCTTGGCGCCACCTGTGGAGCTTCGGAATCCGAGACCCTCGGGCTTGGTCTCCCTCGCCCCTTCGGCGGCACTCTCTCTCTCACTCTCTCTCACTCTCTCTTTCGTCTTTCTCTTCTGAGACCCTCTCCTCTCGAAATCTCAACGAAGAGAACTGCCAGCCGTTAGTAGTGGGTAAGTCTACTGCGTTCTCAATCTTGTTCGAGTGCACCGGCGGTATGATGGGAGAGGGGGGGGCTACACTCGGACACTTGGACCGCCTTGCTTTCCCAAATCCAACTTCCCTAATTGCACGATTTATCCAACATGCTAACTTAATAGAAAAATCCTGCGAAAACCAGTCTTCTACATATAAATCCGGTCGCCCCGGTGGTCTAGTGAGTATCCTCGCAGCCTGCTAAGGGCCAGGTCATGGGTTCGAGTCCCAGGAGAGTGTGTTTTTTTCTCACTAAATAAATCCTGGTCTAGGATGAAAGCGACGCGTTGCAAAGCTCGTTGTTAGTACACCATAATCGACTTCTTAAGTCGCGAGGGAAGGGATTGCTGTACCCTTCTCGCGATTAATATACCTCAGGCAGGAACCGCAGGAGGGGGGTCCAACCCCCCCCTCCTATGTGACCCCGGTTGGGTCGTCTAGATAGTAGAAGTGGAGGATAGGGGCCAGAGGGGCAGACGACAGAATCCGATGATGGGAGAAAAAATAAATAAGTATATATATATATATACCGGTCGCCCCCGGTGGTCTACAAGTAGTGGGTAGTTTCGTAACCTGCTAAGGGCCAGGTCTCGGGTTCGAGTCCCGACAGAGTGAGTTTTATCTCGCTCATTGAATCCTGGACTCCGTTGGAAGCGACGTACTGCAAAGCTCGTTGTTAGTAAACCATAATCGACTTCTTAAGTCGCGAGGGAAGGGATTGCTGTACCCTTCTCGCGATTAATATACCTCAGGCAGGAACCGCAGGAGGGGGTCCAATCCCCCTCCCATGTGACCCCGGTTGGGTCGTCGAGCTGGTAGAAGTGGAAGATAAGGGGCAGAGGGGCAGACGACAGAATCCAATGATGGGAGAAAAACAAACAAAACAAGAAACAAAAATACAGATGGGGGCACTCTCGAAGGACTTTGTGACGCCTGGGCATGAAGGGATTGGGTGGGTGTGGGTGGAGACATCCCACCGCGTGCGCAGCCTCGGCATACGGCGCCCCCGGGTGATTGTTGATCAGGGGTGGGTGTTGACGAGCGGCGGCACCTCTACAATATCACACACTCTAGCATCGAGACGCTTGTGTCCGTCGTCGGATGCCCACGATCTATAATACATAGGGAGACACCGAAATGACAGGTCGAAGATTTGGTGGAATCAGTCCGATGTCTACAGCGCGAAACGCCCAGCTTTTTTTTGTTGCCCGGGGGGTGGGACTGCAGGAGGCGGCCACATGTGGCTGATGGCAAGTGCCGAGCGTGTGAAGTGTAGCGGAGGCCTCGATACGTCTTCCCCTGAACCAAAAGTTGAAGGATTGCAGCAAACGAAATAATATGACCATTGACGGCAGCGTATGGACGGTGATGCCTTGCGGGGGAGGTTTAATGTTACAAGTGTGTTTGAACAGTTATGGGTGTTGATTGAGACTACACACTGTAAGAGAAGGGAGGGGCCTGTTAAGTACAAGTATTGCCCGTTTTTGGGCGGAGAGAACATGCCAGACGAATCAGCTTTTTGTCTCTTGAGCGGGGAGGGCCTTCAGCAAGCGTCCCCACACAAAGCTGGCTTGATACTTTGACGCCCTGTTCGTCACGACCTCCTCTCACTCTCTCCCCCTCCCTCTGTTTCTCCCCCTTCCTCCTTCACTCTCCCCCTCCTTTTCTCTCCCCCTCTCTCCTTCTCCATCTCCCTCTCTTTCTATTTTTATCTATCTTTATCTCACAAGCTCATTCTCGATCGCTCTATTTTCTGCTCGATCCAGGTGGTCTGGCGTGATATTGAAACACTCGTTTCTGCACGACCCTCTCTCTCACTCACTCTCTCTCACTCTCTCTCCCTCTCTCTCCCTCTCTGTATTCATCTCTAATCTCACTCTCTCATAACTCGATCACTCGTTTTTTCTTCTCGATCCAGGTGGTGCTGTTCTTGGACTACGACGGGACTCTGTCCCCCATCGTGGACCAGCCGGACAAGGCGTTCATGAAAGAGGGGATGCGGCCCGTTCTCGCTCAGGTGGGGGGAGGGGGGGTAGTCATTGTCGTGCATGCCGTAGTCGTTAGACCATTGACCTCGCATCCCTACAAAGCCGGGACGGAGCTCGCCGGGTTCTCACCGGACCAGGCTCTCACATGACCAAGCGCGGAGCGCCGTGAGGTATTCGGCGAGTCGCATGAAGGGTGCGCTGCATCCTGCTAAGGGTGTTCGGCATCTTGTGCTTATTTCCTTGCGTAGGGATGACAGCTGCGTATGCAGTAATTTATTTTCTGGTGCTTTCACTTCCAGAGACAGTTAGTTGTCAGCACTGTGTAACTGCCTCGAGGGTGTTTGACCATTGTAACACAACGTGGTGCGATCATCCCCCTTGCGCGGATTGAGGCTTCTTCACCCCGCACAACATGATCTACTCGACCACCATTATGGTTACCGCCAAAAAACAGAGGTAAAAAAACAAACAAACGGTAACCTGGTTGCCGAGTTCACGAAGTGAATTGGCTTGTTATACAACGTAGTTGCCAAGCGACGAAAACCCATTCCCGATGGCAAACACCGGNAGTCGTGCATGCCGTAGTCGTTACACACCATTGACCTCGCATGCCTACAAAGACGGGACGGAGCACGCCGGGTTCTCACCGGAACAGTGTGATCCCCCTGTAGTTTCCTGGGTCAGTCTTGTCTCCTTTCTTAAACAAGTTCACAACCACTCCTTCCCTCCATCCACTTGGCGTATACTCGTTTTTCCACACCCAATTGTATAGCAATACCATCAGCTGGATCATCCCCTTCCCCCCAAACTTCATGAACTCGTTGACTATCCCATCCGCTCCTGCTGCTTTGTGGCACTTCAGCTTGTTCACACA